TATATATGAGGTATAAGCAGTCTTTAAAGTATTCAAGAATTAAAATAAGAATCGCTTTTTAGGAATAAAATAAAAACAAACTTGTACAAATTGAAAACTAATCTTGAAAAAAGCAATGCTTCATATGCTTTTCATTTTCATAAATATTTAAAGAAAAAAGGTACTTCTGAATTATCATGAAATATTTCAATTGCTAGTCAAGTAATATGTGCTGATTCAGCAATAGTAAGAACTTTAAAAGTTGAAGAATATAATATTTTTATGGTGAATAATTAACAAATATATCTTATTTAGTTATAAAATACTTTTAGCAAACTGGTATTATATTAATTGATCTCATAGGAACCTTTAAAACATATAAAAATAATTACTCTAATCCTCGTAAGAAACATGTATAAAATCTTTATTTTAAATTTTGAAGATAGCATTACAAATGTTCTAATAAATAGATTTATACATAATAAAAGTAAGAATCTGATAAAAACTAGTAAAAGTTACATTAAATATACTTGATATTTTGTAAGTATTTTACAACAAAGCTTATAGTATAATACAATATTTCAATATTTATATTATTAATTTTTTTAAATAAAAATTTTATTTAATGATATTTTTTATAAAAGAGATATTTGAAAAAATCCCACTTTTAAAACAAAACTTATTAAGTCACAAAGTAAAAAGACATATATAGTTAATATAATAGTTCTATTAATTAAAGCATTATTAAAAGATCTTCTGATTAGAAAATCTGGTTATATTTCTACATTTGAATGTCAAAGTATGACTAGTAAAGATTGAAAAGGAGTTAGAAAACGTTTAAATATTATGTTTATTACTGGTTTATATAATAAAACATGAATTAATTTATAGTGAAAGTTTTCACATTATTTGTAATAGACAAAAAAAGAAAGATAATCAGGTAAAAACTTGGAGAGAGATGAATGATGAAATGTATTAGGCTCACAAAGGATGTAAATTAGAAAATGATAATTTTAGTATTATTGGAATCCAAGTTGCTAAAAATGAGATATATCTAAATATCCTAATTCAAAATATAGATGAGATATATATTAATGCTCTAAATAGTTCAGATTAATCTAAAAATTTTTGATTTAGATTAACTTCAATTCAGTTTCAGATTGCAAAAAATTCAATCTGAAAATTTCAGATTAATCTGAAATTTCAGATCATTTAGAATGATTAAATTTATTGTTCTTTTAGAATGATAATTTAATCATTTCAATTAAACAATTCTTTTATCATTCGTTTGGAATGATAATTTCATTATTTCAATCAAACAATCCTTTTATCATTCTTTTGGAATAATAATTTAATTGTTTTAATCAAACGATTTTCTTATCATTCATTTGAAATGATAACTTCAATTGTTTTAAATGAATAATTCTTTTATCATTTATTTGGAATAATAATTTAATCATTCTAATCGAATGATTCTTTTATTGTTCATTTAGAATAATAATTTAATCATTCTAATTGAACAATCCTCTTATCATTCTTTTAGAATGATAACTTTAATTATTCTAAATGAATGATTCTTTTATCGTTTATTTAAAACAATAATTTAATTATTCCAAATGAATGATTCTTTTATCATTCATTTAAAACAATAATTTAATTATTTCAATTGAATGATCCTTTTATTATTCTTTTAAAATGATAATTTAATCATTTCAATCAAATGATTTTCTTATTGTTCGTTTAAAATGATAACTTTAATCATTTGATTAGAATAATTAAAGTTATCATTCAATTGGAATAATTAAATTATCAATCTAAAAGAATGATAAATTTAATTGTTCTAAATGATCCAAAATTTCAGATTAATCTGAAATTTTCGATTCAGTTCAGATTTTTACCAGTTTACAGTTCAGTTTAATTTTGGATTAGCATTTTTAAGATTTATAATCTGAACTGAACTGAACTAAACTGAAATTTTCAGTTCAGTTTTAGATTGGCTTATAATCCAGACCAAACTGAACTATTCAGAGCATTATATATTATCTCTACAATTTACAAACTATTGAAATTCTAATTCAACCAAATGATAAGGAAATTATATTTAATTTTGTTGAAACATTATTGACAATAAGGATTTATTAATAGTAAATCTTATTTATATTTTATTTTACTTGTTAAAAATTAATATATTTTTATAATTACAGAATATATTGCATATCAATCTATTATTATTATATTATGTTTCTCAAATTAGTTTAGATAATAATACAGAAAATAGTTCTACAGTATCTTCTTTAAAACCATCATTACCACCAAAAATGAAAAAAAGAAAGTCTAGAAACTAATATTTACTTTTTTAATACTACTTAATAAATTTGACTCTGTATTTAATTTTCAATCTATTTTTGATATATAAAATCTTCTAATGTATGCAAATATTTTATCAAAGTGTAGATTTAAAATATAAGAAAAGAAAATATTCAAGGATTAATACTTTAACTAGTATGATATTACATTATGAATCTTAAATATTACAATTAGTAAATAATATGAAGTACTATGCTAAACATAAATATTAGTAATCTTATTCTGTAAAATTTATATAAATTTACAAATCTTAATACTTTGCATTAAAAATATTCCTGATGTATTTTACATTTATTTTGAATAAAAAGCTCAATTTATATCAAATATCAGAAAAAGACTTAAATTTTTTTTTGTAATGCATAATAAATTTATTAATTCTTTTATTTTTAGTATAAATCAATCAAAAAAATATTAATTTTTAAAAAATGTATTATTTTATTATAAAAACCTTATAATTTTTTAATGTAATAAAATATAATTTTTTTTTTATTATTTTTATATATTATTAATTAATAATTCCTTATACATCATTTTTTATAAAAAAAATGCTAAAAAAAAATCCTTATAAAATATAAGGAAATGTGTTACAGAATTTCAAAAAATGTATACAAAACTTATTTATAATAATGAAAAAACGTATGTAAATTTTTTATAGGATTTTTTTCATATCTGTAATATAAAACAAGTGCTGAAATATGTTCACAGATTTTTCTTGTAGTTAGAATATTGCACGAGACAAGAACTAGAGTTGCACAATTATATCTTTCTTTCTTATACTCATATATATGATCTAGAGTCACTTAACCCTAAGTGACTCAAGATCATTAACAATTAGTGCCAAATAGTGATTAATTCTATGTAAGCTAACTTTATTTGGCTCAGAATTAGTAGATTTTCATGTTTAAATCACAAATCACGAGGCAAGTTACAAATTGCAGCATAGATGACACCAGTGCTATAAATGGTTCTGTCATATAGTTAGAACTAATCAAGGTTTAGCATTAGTCCAAAATGCAAATCGGCCACTTCATTTTAGAAAAAGTTTGGCAATTCTTCGTTACTTGTTTCTTTGAAATTTTTCTATATTTAGCTATCATATATATCGGTTAAAATATCAAAATTTGACCGATTTTCTCAATGTTTAAGAAAACTTTCAAATTCTGGTCAACAATATAAGTAGCTAACTGTTGGCAAATCCTAATGAATAAATATATTAGTTTAGGTTGATTAGTTATTCAACTATCTAATAATTTCATTTATTGAGATAATAGTGTTTGACATAAACGCGTTTTCTGACTTATTGAATTTGAATATTCAACATGTTGACACTTCATAATTGCTAAAATTTTAGCCTACTGAAAATTTATCACTTCTTTTTCTGATATAGTTTGTGGCACTTCGAATATACCACAAAACTATAAAATTGATCTTTAGATCAAGTTTCTTTTTTACCAAATAAAGTGAATAAAAAAAACTATCAAAGTCATCACTACCAATTTCTTCTAATACTATTTTCATGAATTTAACCAAAATTTCAGTAGCTATTTCTGATATATAATATTTAACTCAGAAATTCATGATCTATATCAAAATCCATAAAAATCATCTATCATTTATTGATTCTGAAACAATTGAATCTTTAAATGGTTTGTAGTTAGGTGGTAAGTAATCTTTGAAATGTTTGGCATTGTTACTGGGTTTGTTTTCATTTATCTTAACATCTAAGTTAAAAGGCTGCAACAGCTAATTCTACACGTTAGAGTTTTTAACCTTAGGATTTTCTCTAAGTCTTACAGGTATCTATTATACTTGAATCAACTCTACAATTTGTCACATCTTAGAATTTAAGATATATTTAATCGAACTCGTAATAATGAACTCAATAGCAAGTTAGTATAGTATATCACAACAATCCTAAGTGAAGGACAACGTAAAGAAAAAAATAGTTTGTATAGATTTAAATTGATTCCTTTATTTATAACCTGAAACTCGTATGAAACTTATAAACTTATAACTGAGTTAATTTACAACTTAAGCAAAAAGTTATTCTATTTATACAAAATGACTTTGCTATAGCTAGCTACTTGCTACACTATAAATTAACTAAATATAGATATATGTCTCAATAAAAATATACTTAAATATAATAAAATAATAAAAATAAAATAAATAATAAAATAATAAAAATAATAAAAAGAAATAATATAAATTACAGATGTTAAAGAAATTACAGACGGAATAGAGTAAACAGAATAAACAGACTATTTAGAAAATACAAGGGAAATAGGTGAATCAGATAAATTTTATAAATCCTTTAAATTAAATGATTTTTCAATGCAATATGTCAATCAAGATCTTCCTTAATATGATTTACATAAAATTAAAATCTAATGGCTTTATAAATCATTTTTTTAGGGCAAATTTTCAACGCTGATAGCATAATTACAATCAGCCTATTCAGTTCCATTTGATGTATTATCATCATCCTTAATATCAAATTTAGAGTTCTTTATTGCTGTATCATTATGTTCTATAGTTAGAAGTTTGACAGACAATGTTTGACGATTTGTATATCTGTGTTTTTGAGATAATAAAGCATTAAGATAGGTAAAATCATTGGTAGTTTTTTGAGTTCCTTTGTTATTTTGTCTATTTTAGTTAAAAGTTTGTCCTAAAGCAGCTAAAGTTGTTAAAGTCTCTTCATCTTGTTTATTTTCAACATTTGGTTGAAGTAATTTGATATCTTCCTGAGCTAATGATTGTTTTGTTCATTTGACATATATAGTCTTTTTGTACATGAATCAACTATATTTCCTTTGCATTTGCTACAAAGACAAGAAACTTTCAGCCTTTTTCTGCTAGTTGGCTTAGCAATTAGTCGAAAAGTAGTTAACTTTTCATGAATTACACTTGATATTGATCTTTTTCTTGTCATTTTTTAAATTGATTTTATAGAATATATGAATGCGTTGAAGTTTAAAATTCATTCCAAAAGTTTATTAAAATATTATTAAAATATATAAACGTTTTAGTTTAAAATTTCATTCTAAAAATTTATTTTTATTGTATTATCACATAAAAGTATATTTATATATAGTCTATATAGTAAAGTTTACCAAAGTTTATTGATATTCAACTATATAAAAGAAGCCTATTTTCTATTTAACTTCTTTAAAACATTTGTTATGACTTAATATTTATGCTAATAATTTAAAAATATAAAGATAAATCACTAAAAAAACAAGTTTTGACTAATTGCACCTATTTCAGAATCATTTGTGTTACTTATTCTGGTAGTTTTTAACCAATTTTTGCTTATGCTGAATAGAACTGATACTAATACTTTCTTTTAAAAGAAAATCTAGCAAAAACAATTTGTTAAGGAACTAGCCCTACGCCAGCTACTTCTAATAAGCAAAATAAAGAAAGAGACCTTAGCAAAATCAGATCGAATCCAAATATATGTCTACCATGAGATTGCATTTACCTCCTGTTAAAGAAAAAAGTGTTTCAAGTTTACCAAAAGATAGAAATGTTGATGGTATAGATACAGATTTATTTAAATTTTATGTTTATAATATTACTAATTAATTATTTAAAAAGGTTGCTCAGTTATATGCATGAATCATTGAATTACAAGAAGACAACAGAAGTTACAAAGTTAAAATGAAACACTTTTGGAGTATTGAACAAATTGTATCAGGAAAATGAAACTTTATTTTTTATTAATCCGAAATTTGAAAAGGAATAGGATAAATTATATGAAGAATTTAAACAAAGCAAATCTTTCTGATTGCTAAGGACTTTGAGTTGACTGATAAAGGGTTAAAAGATAGAATCGACTTACAAGCCGATTTTGAGTTGAATGATGAGACAGATTATAATACTACTCAAAGAGTTAAACATCAAAAAAATAAAAAGAAATCTAAAGGAAAAAAACCAATTAGAAATAGCGATGATGAAGAGGAATTGAATATAAATAATGCAAGGGTTCAGAATTTTGTATTATTTTCACTTGTTATACTGGTTTTAATAACTAATATTATTTTATTAGTATGAAATAAAGATAATACTTAAAACCTTGTTGGTTGAAAATAAATAAAATATGATGAAAGGTTTATAAGTGATTTAAATAATGAAATTTTACGAAAGCTGATACCTGAATTGATGAAAACAATGAGGCTAAGATATAATCCTTCTTATGGTCAATTAAAAAATTGGCTATAGGCTTTGCATAGGCATAAAAGAAGCTAATATAACTATAGAAAAAATAGGAAGCTTGATAAAGATAATCATTGTTTATATAGCAACAGCTGATTTAATGAGATAAATAAAGTTACACTTTTTATTAAAATTATTTGCTATTTACTAAATTTGTTTTATTAAATATAGAAAATGTTCTGACGTATAAAAGGTACTAAATCTCTTTTTGAAAAGAAAGATAATCAAGTAGTGAAATATAAATAAGAAAAAGTGTTAAAGATATTACAAGATAATCACTATCATTCACCAGAGCTTAGCGAAACAGATGATAAAAATCTAGCAAATATAAAGCATAATATCAACACTTACGACCTTTCTTAGAGATTAAAAGAGGTTTAATCAATACATTTTAATTTTTATTTGACACTCCACAATTGTAAAAACTAATATTCTTTTATTAGCTAAAAAATCTTTTATGTAACATAATTGATCCTCATTTATTAACATTACAAATATCCAAACTGATGAGAGATTATTGACATAATGATGAAATTTGTTTTTATAAGTTGATCAAACTTTGCGATACTTCAGATTAGACCTATGAAGAATAAGATATGGATTACGGAACTGATTTTGAAGCTTCTCAAAGTTGGTTATATTAAACGAAACAGTTGAAGGAAGTGAAACATCACCTATAAGCGAAATCTGTAATATTATTCAAGATAATGAAAATGATGATAAATATAGAGATTATGATAGTGATCAATATGGAGAATATAAGGAAGATTATTATTAACATATTTTTTATTTTATAATTTGTAGTAAATTTCTAAAGTTATATTATATTAATTTAGCAAAATATAAGTGTATTTCATTTTATTTAATAAAAATTCGCTTAATATTCATTTAATATTCATTTAAAATTCATTTAAAAATTCGCTTAAAATTTGAATCTCCAAATTCTATTATTCATTATGCTGATTATATATTGAACATCATGATCAAGTAGTAAGCGAAACATGACAATTGACATAAACTAACAGGCTAGATTTAGTTTATAATTCAGCATTAAACTAACAATCTGAAATTTTGGCCAAAATGGAGTATTTTGATTGGTGAATAAGACTTAAAATAAATTAGAAACAATTTATCAATATAATATAATATTTTAATATACATTAAAAAAGATTTAAAGTAAATTAAAAATAATTTATTGATATATTAAATCAAAAAGAACTTAAAATAAATTAGAAACAATATCTTTATCATATATTAAATTAATATAAGATTCAGAAACAATTTATTGATATATTAAATCAAAATAAACTTAAAATAAATTAGAAATAATACTTTTATCATATATTAAATTAGTATAAGATTTAAAAATAATTTATTAATACATTAAATCAAATTGAATTTAAAGTAAATCAGAAATAATACTTCATCATATATTAAATCAATACAAGATTTAAAAAAATTATCAATATATTAAATCAAAGAAAACTTAATAAAAATAGTTATAAATATTAAAATTGTTTTATAAAGAAAATTTATTTAATTGCTTATACTTACTAAAAAAGAAAACAAAAGTTTAATATAATAATATAAATATTTGCAAAATTACCACATTTTTTTAAAAAATATAAAATTAAACTAAAATTGTCTTCATAAATAATTTCATTTTAAACTTTTATTTTCCTCTTATTTTCTTAATTATAAAATAAAAATAAGCTGAAAAAAGGTTGATTTTTAAATTATTTGATAATGATGATTCATTATCAATTCATGATGAAGATATTTCTACTTCTCAATTTTCTAATACACCTTTTTATAGAAGAATAAATAGATCAATTGGTAATTTAACTGGTAAAAAATATATATCTAATTCTAGGCCATCAATCTCTTATAATATTAAAGTTAGATATCAAGATTCATAAAGTTTTATTTAGATACATTTTATTAATTTAGAATATAAGATGAAATGGAAGAATTATTAATATTGATTTTGACTAGATAAATTGTAAAAATTATCAAATATAAATCTAATAATAAATATTAAGAAGATTTTGATTCTACTTTTTTACCTTAGAAATATATAAAAAAATATATAAGTTATCTAAAATCTAATATAAATCTTTTTAATAATTTGGAAATAGAAGCTGGTCAATCTTCAGAATCTTTAGAATTTACTATTAAAAAAGATTACATTATAGGTGAATCTGAAGATAATGATAATTCTATAGATAATAATTTTAAAATATTTAAAGATTATGCATTACTAAATTATGAATAATTTTAAAATTCACCAAATATAGAATCAATTAATAACTGATTTTTATGGATTTTACTTTGAATCATATCATTTAGATCAGATTCAACTTACAGAGTTTACAACTGAGATGTTTATAAAATTTATGACAGAAATCAAAGGTGACAAATTTAAAAATTTTTCAAATTTAATATATTTGACGAAAAAACACTTAGATTAAATGATCAATTTTACCATTTGTTTCTTATTTTAAAAGTTATAAGCTGTATTAAAAATAGAAAGTGATAAATTTTCAACAGAATTATATGCTGATTATAATAAAATTTTGACATATAAAATTTCCAATTTATCAATTTGTAAAATATGATTTTGTAATACTTTATTATCTCAAAAAATTGTATTGACAAATCAAATATTAATTTGATTTAATTTAATTTTTTTATTTTCTAAATTATAATAACAACTTACTTCTATATATCATCAGCTAATTTTAAAATTAGCTTGAGATAATAAACATATTGTTAACATTTTGACAAATATATTATTAATATATATAATGATAAAGTATGACAGATGTTAAAAGAATCTTTACAAGAAGATTTAGAAATTTTTTGAGATAAAGTAACTGATTCTTATCTTGGATTAATGTTAATTTTAGCTATATGATGGTATTATTTATAGTATTTGAGTAATATATACCACTATATATAATTTGCCTCATAATATCTGATTTAAAAACATAAAAATTTACTGATTCTTGATCTTTTACTTTGATCAAGTGAAGTCAGTTTACATAAAATAAATTATTATTTAGTGCTGATTATAAATGAATTGAAATCTTTTTAAAATGGATTATCAATAAATAAAATATATAAATATTCTAAAGAAAAGAACATTTATGTAGCTTTAATTCTTTATTTTATGTAATGTACCAACTGCTATAAAAATATGTGATATATTTTAGCTTTAGTATCATGTTATAGATGTAAAAAAAAGGTAAATTATAAAAATTTTAAGTATAATTTTATTAGAATAGATAATATTGATAATTAGTTTATTATGTGAGATTTAGTTGAATATTATCAAAATACTTTAGAATAAAGACACTGCAATTTAGACTTTATGAAAATGATTTGTAAAGTAAAGTGATGTAAGATAGTCTAAATTATTATATTTGTCATATTTTAACCTATAAAATATATTATAATCAATTTAATGTATTACCTATTTTTAGATATTGCATAAGAAATAGTAAAACAAATCTGAATTGATAAAGGGATTTTAATATCAAAATTTTGAATAAGATTCAGAAAAAGATGAACAAATTTCAGATTCCTTCTGATCTGAATTTTATTCTAGTAAAATTCATAAAGGAAAAGAATTTTCTAATTTTATAACCAATCAGTGATAAATATTTTTCATTGTATATATTACTGTTTTATTTTGAAAATATCTTCAATTGTAGATAGAAAGATTCTTACATATTTTATAAGGATTTATATAATTTTAGTAAGCTAGTTTATAGATTCAGATCTATTATATGAAGTATATTGAAATCTAATTAAGATAGTGAAATTGATTGAATATAATCACAAATATAATAAATTACGCTAAATTTTTACCTTTTTCTCTTTTTTTTGTATGATTACTCAAAGATTGTAGTCTATTATATACGTTTTAGTAATTGTTTTTTAAACACATGAATAAAATATTAGGTATTTTTTTAAAAATTTCTTGAATAATTAGCTTACTAATTTATAAATGATTTTTAGATTCTTACTGAATAGTAATAGAAAAATTGAACTTGAGTTAATGTGTTGATTGATATTTAATATTCAAATTAATAATATTATAAATTCTAGTTATATTGAGATAAAAGGGCTTAAATTACTAAAACTCAGCCTTTAATTAGTTTTTTTTTAAATACAGATAAATTTTCTTCTGACGAAATCCACTGATTTTGAATGAATTTACAAAATATACAAAATTAAATGTTACTAAAGTAAACTATTTTCAGGTAATTTCTTTAAATTACATTTAATAATATAATTATTTTAAGTAAAATACTTGATTTGATGGTTAAAATACTATAATATGACTTATATTACATTTGATTTTAAGAAACTATTTAATAAGAATTTAGAAATTAGTATAATGATTCAGATTAAAATAAATAAATTCAAAAGGTATTAAATTAGTTCTAAAATCTTTAATTCATTGATGTCTTTATAATATATAAAAAATTCGTACTTTTTAGTCAAATTTATTACAAATAATAATATAATCAATTGTTACTCTAACTAAGTCTAATATTATTTTACTTATAAAATTTATTTATTATTCTAAATATGTGATATTATTTTAGTAAAAAAGAAATATGTAATATTAAATTATAGAATACTAAATTTTATCTGAAAAGTTATGATTATATAATATCAGTTCATCATATTTTAGGTTAATTTATACTGATTAACTATTAAATTACAACTTAGTAAAATGTAAAAGAATATTTGGCTATTAATCCAATTAATAGAAAATACCATTTATGAAATAAATTAAATATTTTTAGCATTATTTGGCTGTTAATCCTACAAAATATCAGTTATATTTCCTTTTAAATTTTATTTTATTTTAAAATATTTTAGTTAATTTTTAATGTATTATCAATCAGATGTAAATCAGATGTTAATAAGCTATAAATAAGATAAGTCAAATTTTGGCTAATCCTTAGCTGATTTCTGATATATGCTAATCAGCTAGACTGATTTTGATAATTTGCTGATTTTAGACTGATTTTCACATGTCTGATTTTTTTGATTTTGACCAATAAATATTTTTAAACTTTTAAAATTCATAATTATTAATATATATTAATTGTTCAATTTTTTTAATTTTTAATTTAAAAATAATTTATTATTTAATAATTATAAAAATATAAAATTTAGTTTATTGGATTCATTCACATTAAGATCTATTAAATAGTAATATTTTTTATATTTCTAAAATTAATAAATAATAAGATATATAAATTTAGAATTTTAATTTTTTTTATAATAATTTATTATCTAATTAATTCAGTGTTGACAATGGACATATCCATTGATATAACAATCGACAATGGACAGTTTTCCATTGTATCCATTGCATTGTCCATTGTGTCCATTGTGATTGACGTATTACAAATCTCGATTAAACTTAAATGGAAAGATTAGAATATAAAAGGATCCAAAATCGCATGATTATCAATAAAA